CCAAATTATTAAGGATTTGTATCAATATCTTCTTGAAATCTGTTGCTTCGTGATTATTAGACCCATATCTATGGATAGGTCTATTTGATTTCCTAATATTTTCTAATGTTTTACAATTTTCGTCCAAGATTGTGCAAATTTAGTCTAGCTTACGGACTGAGTTTTGAGGCATCGTTTCKAAGATGTTATATGTATTGAAAACGGTCTCAAGTCTGCAGGTGGCTGTCYGAGCATTTCTTTCCTCGAAGAATTTCCTTGAATGCTTTGCGAAAGTTTGAGCTTTGAAAGCCATAAAGGAAAGGGTTAATGGCACTCTCGGTAAAGTACAATGCGGCGCTGTGATTGAACAAACGTTTGCCTACAACGCCAAAGAAATACAAAATCCCAATAACTATCAAAGGAGCAAGACAAATAGCATTAGCAACTGTGATAGTCACCCTTATAAGCTTCTTTTTCGAGCGCGTATCGTCTTCTGCAAGAGCGCCATTTCGTGGTATGACTTTTTTCTTCAAATACAACTCTCTTAGTATTTCGAAATAGCAGAAAAGGACAAAAATAACCAAGTATATTCCATAATGGTTATAAGGAAAACCATTCTTGCATATGTGATCTCCGACATTGTAATATRCATAGATGTACAATGGTAGGGTAATCACAATCGATATGACCCAAATTACAATGATCACTTGATGAACATTGTCTTCTCGCAGACGAAAGGTAGCTCTCATCGGTTTGACGATAGCATGATATCTTTCCATTGCAACTACTGCAAGAGTTAGAATCGATACTGTACTAGCTGTCACTGGTATATGAAAATCTATGAATATCTTACACAATCACCGCCAAGCTCTTTTGGTAGGTCGATGAGCTGAATTGCTAATAAAGGCAGAAATACAACGCATATGACGTCGGAGAAAGCTACATTTGCCAGGAAAATGTTCGTTGTCGTTCTTAGTGTACGATTTCTTCTTYTTGCTTCCATGATTAAGATATTTCCACTGAGAGACATCACAAAGACTAAGCAACCTGTAGTGAATTTCCCAATTTCATCTGGTCTCTTGAAAACAGTTATTCCTGCCATTATTAAAAAACTGAAACAATACGTGAGAAGATACCGTTGAAGATAACTAACTAGCTCTGAATCTTCGTTTTAGCTAGCTAGTAAAGCGAAAAACAACTGAGGCTTCTTCAAACTGTCGTGTTTAGCTAAATGGATTTATGAAATTGTAAATCATTAGTGACTACGTGAATGGAGAAAGGGTACTTTGCGCTTCCGCAAAACAAGACTTAGGATTCATAATGGTGCTCTTGTTGCTTATTATTTTTGTAAATGCGGGGAGCTTTTGTTTTGTCCTTTCAAATTGTGCGCGGAAGTCGTATTCGAAATRGTCAAGTGAATCAATTCAATGTTTTTTAAATGCAACGTTTGAAACATATATATATTCAAGGCGAATCTATTTCGGAAGCAATTATCACGTATTTACAATAGCTGTTCAAAAGTGACTTATGACTTTATATGTCGCAAAAATGGTCCGTAGCTTTGTTTTTGCAGCTGTTGCACCTCCTTTTGTTGGCTTGATTCTCGCGAGTCAGAGTTAAGGGAAAACAAAAAAAAAATAACACTCAACTGCTTACGTACTTGAATGAATGCTAAATTTTAATTGATTTTAGCCATTCGATGTAAAATTCATTTCATAAATTCATATCCACGTTATCCTTACATGGTGCTTGTTAGTGCAGTTTGGTGCATGAGGTCATATTCTAATTGTAGGTCTTGCAGAAGTTGGTTGTTACTTGCCCAAGTACGATAATTGAGCAGTGAATCGATAAATAATTATTTGCAACTATACAGCTCAACTCTCATGCTTGGCCAACCACGAAACGTTTTCACAACAAACCGAACGCATCTAGCATAGAAAGGTGGTTGTAGATTATGACACACGACCGTCGAGGAGTCGCTGTTTCCTTCGAAGACCTATAAAAAGAAACGAAAAAAGGTCAGTGTGTAATTTGACCGCGGAAGCCTCCTTCTTTTGCTCAGCTGATTCTTATGAGTATCTATTTGAAATGGTTTCGCGCACAATCTGTAAATTATGCATGTCCTTTGCTTAGACACAAACAGAAAAATTACTCTCAACAAATAGTGAATCTGATGACATCAGATGGGTTGCTAGTGGCGACAGATGACACTCAATGTAGCGTTAACCCAATCTGTACACCCTGGAGGAAGCAATGTCTCAACTCACCGAGGAGCTGTGAGTCTTTAGAACAAGCAAATAGATTAACAACATCGATGATTAGTGCAAAATACCTTTCCTTTCTCGTCATCATTTAGACTGTACGTAGTCCATGTTCTTCGATCATTGCTGTAGTGCAGGAAATAGGTAGTTACCCACTGAGCTGAACTCTCCCTCCCTTGAGTAGCGACCTTACAGATGGTATTGTTTGTGCCTAAATCAACCTGTAAATATTCACCAGCTGCGGGCTGGSCACTCGACCATGAACACCAACAACCGACCTTGTTCAGRCTTCCGTTATGTGGTGACAGGCCCGCACGAAAGTGTGAAGAAGCTGTGATTTGGGAATCAGAAATTCTTCCATCTTCCATCCCAAGAGCATGGTATTCTATACAAGATATGTAAATATCTCTCTGAATCACTACAGTAAGAAGCCTAAAACGTCATTAATTTATCAACAACAAKAACTTGAATACATGTTTTAGATCGTTGTTTATTTGTTGTTTTATTTGTTGTTGTTTTTTTTTTTTTGTTGTTGTTGTTTTAAAATACCTCGTTCACAGTGTCTTCCATGAAAACATCGCTGACATTTGCAAGTATAATRACCGGTGCGGTAGTCTGCATAGCAAAGACCTTGGTTCTTGCAAGGATTCACAAGACATTCAGTCTGCAACGTAAATGAGACAATCGTTATTAGTTTCTTGCCTAACTTCGACAATAAAAGTAACTGCATACTGACTTCATCTAGTTTACTTAGCTTACCTTGATTGTAAAGTGGAGGTAGTTGTCTTTATCTTTGAGAASTTCAGTATTGTTTAAAATGTCRGTKTCCAMCATTTCGCACAAATGCAGTCCATKAGAGTCTTCAGTTTTGGCGAAATTAAAAGAGACGCATTTCTGATCTGCWGCACAGTCTAATAAGCACACTTTGTAAGTTTTGCCATGAAACWCTTTGAACGGTTTTATGTCCAAAGCTTTGTTTAAAATTTTTATAAAGTGAGCAAACCCGAAACCTGTTTTTAGACCTCGCGCGTTTGGTATGTTGTCTGCATAATYCTTCACACTAGTAGCTTCACAAGACGAAGAAGACAAATATATAGCCGTACAAACTAAGAACACAATCATGCTCAGCGCAATCTGCATGACCTGTGTGAGAATTTTAGCTCATTTTTTTTAACGGGATATAAAGGTCCATCATGTGACCCAATAGTTGGATTCTGATTGAACTAATAGCTAATGAATTATTAATGAGTTCTAGAATACCGAATGGTGTGAATCATTAAGGCAGGCCTTAATGTGTTGAGCGTGTTCTCAATTCTCTTGCTTATGGGCAGTCTTTTTACTTTGTTATCAAGGTTTTTATTAACTCGTGAAATACACTTTCGCATTCTCACTTCAATATTGCCATTTTGAGCATGTTTTGCTTCGTCGGGTGCATGAAACTATTGCACGTTGACTAGTTATGCAAACCATTCTTCTATTAGCTTTTTTTATCCAAGTAGAAAAATCATAATAATTGAACTGTAATCAACAGATGATTTGCTCGAGTACAAATGAATAATYAATGCTTGTTCAGCATAATGAAGCATAAAACAACATCATTGAAACCAAATATAATTACAGTATATTACTGAAGGGTGGGAYAGCTGGATTCTAATCATAGCTTTTAGTTGAATGTCATCATTCTACTCTACATGACGCGATTGCAGAGTTTTGATAAAAACAAGTTTTAGTTTCCTTCTGTACAAATCATATAGCTTTCTTCGCAGGCTCCCCTTTTGTCGAGTTTTCTGTCCCTTCTTCAAAAGAGGAGGAGGGGACAAATCTATAAGGTGTTTTATTATCGTAAAAAAATGTTAAAAAGACCTCGTTAGTCTTGTATTAATGACACCGTGTAGTTAACAATGATTCATGACGACAGGTGATTTATTAACGATGATAAAATGCTGATAAAAGTCACACAACGTCATCCGTGGAGGGAGGGGGCGGGGCTAAAATGTTGCGGTTTGGGGCGAGAGGATGTGTGCGGGACACGTTTTAAAAAGAGATAGGGCTCCCTTACTTTTCGAATATTTTCTGGATCTTTTCCAAAAGGCAGGGGACTGGCAAATTTTAAAACTRCAAAACACTGCAGCTAATCTAACTTCAATTTGTTACTTTTGAAGATTTCCTTTTAACGTCCCAGTAGATATATAATATATAAATAATGATAGATTTAACTATCACAAAATGCCACAAAACGGCAAGCAAAATGATTGGGATTCGAAACTACTTAATCCGTCGGCCTGCYGTTAACCTTCAATTATAATTGTTATCTGACCCCTAGATGACAAGTTAAAATTTCCACAGCCAACTCGTCCACAACTCATTCAYTCTGTAGGACTTTGGCATTCTCTCTCCAGGATTTTTAAATACCCTTCTAACGTTAATACGTTCTCWGCATCTGGAACTTCAAAAATGCTCTTTTRATTGAGGATTTTCGTCATCGTCGTTGTCTTGGTGGAGTTCAGCTGCATTCAAGGTATGAACAATGAATGTATTTTATGATCTTTTAATTGGTCACGTTTCGAAGGTTCACATACAACAAAAACAAGAGTGAATTTTAGTAATTTGCGAAGTATAAATGCTAAATGGGGGTATATATATAAGTGTATATAATGAAATCTCTTTTGATCAACAATATACAACATGTTACTTTATTTGCACTGTGTATATGTCATATATGTCTGTAAATACGTCCATCTCCTATTTACCAGATCGATATAACCCGTGCTGAGTATGACTGAATCACTATTCCATTTACAATGCATATCTATCCGTACCTAATAGTTTGAATAATATATAATACTGCTCATGGAGTCACTGTCACGCTCCATATGGGATCTGCTAGACGACAGTGCCTATTGATGAACRGATTAAGGGTTTTTGGCAAATGCCTGGAAGAACTATGTTGCATTGTATAAGTATTACGATATGTCTAGCCAACATAAAGCAAGATAAGGTATTCGTACTAAAATGAATGAGCAAATGGGCGAATGAATGAATGGGAGACCGATGTGAAGAAATGAATTTTAAAATGGATGAATTAATTTTCTGGGAATTAATGCTGCAATATGATCGGTATATATGTTGTTGTCAGAGGGGCCCGTTTTTAATTAACTAAAAATCAAATGACGCAGTTGCAGACTTGAACTCTGCTGGGACGCCCTTTGCATAATGCCACTAAAAATGAATTAAGAATTAAATATCCATTCTTGTTCATCTAACTTTATGTCATTTAGCAATGTTCTTTGCGCACATAGTTAACTTCCATACTATAATTCACATATGAATAATTTAGAGTGTGAAATAATAGACTATTCATTTTACTCTAAATCCCATTTTTTCCAAAAGGAGACTCGAATTTCAAATCCAAAGAAAAYTTTGGAAAASAACTGTCKGACWTTTRCCTTGGTCATGCCAGTAGCAAKACCGCACGWGGTAAACGTCAAGTGATCGAGTACCAGACCCCTGCGCCATACCAATACAACGTTATCTACGTCATCGATTCATCATRTTCCCTCAGCAACGTAGACTTTAAAATTGCTCTCAAAGCAATCGAACTTTTAACSCAYAAAGCGCGTCAAGACACTAAGTACGCCGCCATTTTGTTTGCGTCTTACGTTCAAGTGATTTCTACGTTCACAAGTRCMCAAGGCATTTTGYAAAAGCTAAAATCGACGCACAGGCTCAGAGGAGGAACAAATATCTATGATGCTTTGAACACCTGCAAGAACCTGTTTAACAATCCAGGGTATGATTCAAACTAAAGAGAAATGGATCTCTGCGGGTGGCTGGGGTGGGGCTATGTGTGGGGGTGGGGCTATGTGTGGGGGTAGGGCTATGTGTGGGTTGGGGCTATATATGGGGGGTAGGGCTATGTGCGAGGGTGAGGATATGATGACTGTTTTCAATGTCGGGTTGTTCCTTTTGTGTTTTTTATTTAACTCAAATAACAAAACACTAATGGTATATTCTATGCTTAATTCAACAGTTCTGGATTAAACCCCAAAGCATTAAACCGAATTGTAATCATCACCGATGGATTGTACAACATCAAGGAATCGAAAACCCTTAGCCTTGCTATGGAACTCAAATTAAACAACACTGAGATCTTTGTGGTAGCGYTCGGCCGTTACATGTATGGTTTGACTGAAATCTCGTTCCTCGCCAGCTCACAAGATTCTCACATCTTTAGAGTGAAGACAATGAAGGGTTTGTTTGATGTTGCTAAGTGGGTACCTTATGATAACGATGACAACAATAACTATGGCAACGATGACAGTACTGGCCTTTGAAAACAGGAGTTGTCAATTTCTCGATCATATGACATGCACTAAGCTATTTTTACTAAATTGTTATAGCGGCGTTACATTGCCGTGCAGGTCGTCACCGAGAGAAAAGGGTGTGACGAAAGACGATCTCMGTTTGATGATGTGATGCAATGCAGATCTTGCTATAGACTGCTTTTTATAGTATTTGTAGTTTTATAGACAGAATGCTGCTGAAATTAAAGATGACGATGTTATCAATTTAAACGCTCCTAGCTACCCTGTCTCTTAACTAGAAGCCCCTAATTTTTACATAGAAAGTATTTATGAAGGTATAGGTCACTGCAAACGTTAGGTTTCTTGGAAATCGTAACAGTAACGAGCCACAGCATGCTTGATCACGGGATATTGAAGTGACATTTTTSTAGGGGTATAAATTAGACACAAACGAAGACGATTTCTTAAAGACTCAGTATCGGGACTGAATCAGAACGACTTACAAGGTAAGGCAATACACTAAGTTTACTATTATTGCAGCGATTTAATTTAAAAAGTTATAAATTTGCGCAATTTCAATTATGAGGACGGATGCGAGGAATCAGTCCAAATGGTTTCTTTAGGACTGTACCTTTCCAATGAGGAAAAAAAAGACGAACGCGTTTCCTAGTTTCTGGGAGAAGATAATTCATTTTAGGAAGATAGTTCATTTTAGGAAGATAGTTCATTTTAGGAATGGTACAGGAGCGATATTTGGCGGGCGATTTTGGCAGTCTTAAGCAATTCAAACTTCTAATTTTTTACGCAGTTTTTCAGTACATAAATACCTCCGTTTTACGTAACCATCCATGCCGAAGGGAACCTTGATCGTCGCTGCATGCAGTGCTTCTGGCCATTGCATTGTGCGGCGCAAGTAACGGAGACAAGAATGTGGAGTTGTTAGTGAAGAAAGCGGGTGGCTGTTGCGGCCCAATGTTTGAAGATTGCGGACCATGTACACCTCGCATACAGATGCCAGGATTTAGAGCTGGACACAGTTGRTGTTTGCCAGAGATAAAACAGGAAGGAAAAGCATCTCCAAGAGGTCCACAATACTGGTGTTGTAAGTGTGGAAGTCCACCGTTACAGCCTTTATACGGTCAACCATGCTGTGCAGGACATTGCTAAACTTTTTCACGATGTGGAACGTTGATTAATTATTCCTTCAATTTTAGTAAAAAGGGTGCTATATTATCAAAGGGACTGAAAATGATGCAACTATTGATTTTGTAGTTCTTCAATTCAGCATTTTTTGTTTAGAAATATAAGTGTAGATTGTAGATGCTGACTTCCTTTACTGCTTTTACTAGGCCTTGTTAAAGTAGATAGGCCTATTATAACTTACAAAAGTCTAATTAAAAATTCTACAATCAACTCATCCTTCATGTCCTCGATTTCCAGGGTGCGATTGAGAAATGGGTGAAATGAACCCATTCTATTTCTATCCATTGTTTTATTACAACATGCATGCCTCAAGAAGTTCAATCCTCACTATGCCATTCATGGGTTGGTTTGGGTTATGGGGACTGGGTTATGGCAAAGGTTGCAGTCCAAGTTCATTTAGTAACCTTCCTGTTCAGCTTTCATTAACTTGTAGAAAGCCATGTATAGTCCTTTGTATCTWAAAGTGATCCTAGGGTATTTTAGAGTGAAATTGCCAAAGGAAACTGGTTCATTTATTTGCATTTCATCCTTTCATGAACAAATATTGTAAAATTACAAATTGATTTTCTAAAAAAATGCATTCTGGTTGAAAAATATTGCATTTTGAGAAAATGAAGTAATCTTCATTGAAATCTTATCTTAGAATTAGAATTTAAAAGTACAATAACATACATTAAATACACACTATATGTACTGTATTCTTGTGGGAGCATGAATATATAATTCTCTTTTCTCATCAATGTAAGTACGGTACGTAGACGTGCTTTTCAGATACAAATATTAGAAATAATACTATATTACTTTAAAATAGTTATCTAAAGTTCATCACGTTTTGGTCCAGAGAATTCTTCAAATGAAATTACGCCATCTTTGTTCTTGTCTTCTGATTGGAAGATTTCTGAGACAATGGTATCATGACTGGCTTTATCATCATTGGGCATGCTGTCCTGTTCTATTAGGTAATCCTTTATTTCTTGATGTGTTAATTGCTTGTTTTTATCCTTATCAATCATTCCAAATACATTTGGTTGAGATTGAGCTGATCCCTGGATTTCTACTAGTTCTACTTCCATGTAGAGTGTTGCACCTGGWGGGATAACAGCRCCTGCTCCTCTGTCACCGTAAGCTGAAAATACAAACGAAAATAACATCGAGTTCTATGTAATCTGATAATAAATTTGTTTTAAAACAACGAGGGACAGGAAGCCTGGAAAATAGGTAAACTGTAAAAGAGACTATGTGAGAGACCAACACTTATTCATGTTCCCAATAATGTTTTTTGACTACTCAGTCCAACACCTGGAATGTCTGAGCAGGAGACTGTGAATTTAGTCTATTTGATGACAACCAGGATCCAGACATCCATCAATTTTCATTTCAAAAAACCATATAAAATCTGTATATATTWGAACTTGGATAGATTAGTACAAGCAAATCAATCATTTTCAGATTCATTTACTTACGTGTGTTTGTCGCATCGCTAAGTAAACAAATAAACGAATTTGCATATTTATATTGTGTTTTGCAAACAATGAACAAAGTCGACGTTAAAATCACTCAACTAGAACTTGGCGATAGAAATATCTTAAAAAAAGACAATACAGAAATATAAGACATCAATGTGGATTTTTTAGATTTCAATCATTAACCACTAATGTCAAAGAACAACGGCCATTCATCCATTAGATGACACGTACGAACTGTGTGTATCGCCGCCAGTTCTTCAATTACTCAAAAAAAACCCTGATACGAAGCAAATAATTGAAAACAAGGCAAATATTAATACAGAACGGAAAAATTCAAAACATAATTTGATAATCTTATAAATTTTAATCGCCAAAGCTCCTAAAAGAGCAATGTATACGACTCACTAAGGATATAAGCTTAAGTTACTATAAGCAGGTCTGATATTTAACTTACCTAAATGYGGGGGAATTACAAGCTTTCGTTTCTCTCCAACGCACATGTCRAASAGACCTTGCTCCCATCCTTGAATTACCATCCCTTTTCCAAGAGTAAAATCAAAAGTTTTTCCCCGATCGTGACTAGAATCAAACTTTTTACCGTCAGCTAGACGTCCCGTATAGTGCATGGCCAGCGAATCCCCTACTTTTGTCTTCTGAGGGCATTTCTCAGGCTTTTCGACAACTTCGATCTTCAACTCTCCTTTCTCCTCCTCTGCGCTGGCTGTGAGAAYATTAATTAACCACAAGTTTGAGAGAAGAACGATGAAAAGGTATGCCTTCATCTTGAAATCCTTGACGACCGGTACTCAGTTCGACGTGGCTTTCAAGACTCAGACATTCCAAAATTCCAATAGACCCTTGGTAACCATGTCTCTTGAGAAGAGGCTTGGATGCTATTCGTAATTAAACAAAAAAATGTCTCACATTATACAACTAAACTCATGGTTAAGAAATTTAATTAAATTTCAATATCTTTACACGATCTAGACTATTCTAAGAACTACTTGCGATAGACTTGCGATTCGATAAATAAAGTACTTTTACCTAGTCCCTGGCAGATTTTTTAAAGGCCTGGCTGCTGGGTATTTGGTTTTCAAAATGGCGGACGTCATGCACGGTATTCCGCGCTTTTTTCAAGTTCTTTCTTTTAGAATCCTTTATCTTTAGAAGATTGGTGTCGTTGCAACTTTTTAAAATGGTAAGTGATAAATTGAAGATTTGAGTTTCCAGGTTTCTAGAAATGTTGAAACTACATCTGTCTGCTGCACGATATTTTGTAGATTCGTTTGAGTGCATTGAATGACAACTCGAGCGACGAGAGCGAACCAGAGAGGACGCAAGAYAGCATCAAACAAGCTCAGGTATTCTTTAGGTTGATAAAGGGGTTTATTGGAGCGGGTGTGTTGTAAATTCATAAAGTCATATATGCTATGCCTGTACATGTGGTAATAACTAAAGTTATTAAGTATGCAAATAACATAGCCATATTTGTATTCAGGAATCAGAAGCTCTAGAGCTGTACAATAAAGCCTTGCAATATCAGCATTCTGAAGATCATAGCAAAGCTGAAGAAACTTACCAGGAACTTCTGTTATCYGCATTAGTAACCGAGGTAAGAGACTAAAGAAAAAAATGATTTTATTTTTCTTTATGGCATTTTTTTCAGTTACGATATAATTATAATATTAAGTTACTAAATGTTTATAAATGGAATTAGAAACACAGTTGTACGAAGAATGAATAGCACTGTCCACTAGATAAATCCTTATCCAGCTGATGAAATCTGTACAAAAGCTAAGGAGTGGATAACTATATTCACCCTTCATACAGCCCTTGCATTTTAGATCATTTCATTCTAGGAAATTTCTCCTAGGAAATGTGATGAGTTTTCTGTTTTCCATAAAAGAGATHCAGTTTAACTGAATGAGACTATTTCATTTATTGTAGGCTCCTACTCCAGATCCTGATGAAGGTGGCTTACATCATCCAGGCCAAGTWCTTAAATACTCTGCTTATAAAAACCTAGCAGTGTTGGCTGAAAACAAAGGAGAATATGAAAAAGCTACTGACAATTACCTTGAGGTATTTTACTGACACTCTGCAAGTCTTGCAACAGTTGAATAAATAGACACCATACACAACTTTCAAAAATGGCGGGTTCTCATGACCGCCAATATCAGGCGGACTAGTGACGAATCATGGAAACTAGACCTCAAAGGCCTTCCATCTAGAAATCACTACGAAGATTGCAAGTAGGTAGTGTCCAAAAGTTTGAAAGATGTTTTTAGAACAAAACASTCTTGTAAGACACCATCAAAGTTTACTATACGGGAGGCCAGCCTTTGAGACCTCGTTTTAGTGCTACATCCCCAGTGCCCTGGGTTGGTGATCATGACATATTTCACCATTTTTTTAAAGTCATAAATCATTTGATTTTGCTGCTGTCTATCAATCTCCAAAGTCCACAGTGATGGGCAGTCAATCATAAAATGTCTTGTACAGGACAGACAGACAGAACAAATAATATAGACAAAAGTACTCACTAATATGCCTAGTTATTTACATAAACTAACCAGTTTTAATAAATAAAATTAATGTGTATTATTTTGTGGCTGTCAGGCTGTCATGCTAGATGATTCTGATGTGACGGTATGGTATCACATTGGAAAGGTGTCAATTAAATGCTTCAATTTAACACTTGCAAGACAAGCTTTTGAAGAGGTACTTAATGCTTGCACCACCTAACAGCACTGTATTGTACCCAATTATATGCTAACTATTTTCATCTCACCACCTAACAGCACTGTATTGTACCCAATTATATGCTAACTATTTTCATCTCACTATACTAACAATTAAGTATCCATCAATTTGTCACTTCAATCTGCTTAGTTAATTTTGAGCAATACTCAGGTTCTTCTCTTTCGCTTTTTGTTTTATTAGTTCATACCTTGTACTCTTTTCTACTGTTTCAGTGTTTAATTCTTAAAACAATTTTGTGATTAATATTCAAGGGTCTACGATGTAACTCCAAACACTGGCCATGTCTTGATGAGCTGTGTACAGTATTATATGCCATAGGAGATTATCCAAGTATGAAGTTAGACTGAATGAGGAAGTGGAGGAAGAGGGAGGGAATATAGGGGAAGGAAGTGTGAAGAAAGGTGGTATTTGTAAGGTGAAGAAGCATGGAAGGAGAGGAGGGATTATGAGGAAGCAAAAGAAGGGGACAAGAAGCAAGAAGGGGAGATCACTGAAGACACATAACACTAAAACAATTCCRTTCATCATCAGCATGTCTTGCCATGGTTTCTGATGCTTTGGAAGAAGATGAGAGTTACTTGAAAGGTGACTGATTTAATGTATTATTCTGTATGCAGGATGAGTGCAGTTATACATTGTATATAAAACACATATTTAACATTAATTGGTATTTCTGTGGTGTTTAAAGACTTGTTYTGATTTATTCAGTTTTTATTCAGTTGCATTCAAGATGAAGTTTTTAACATCATAACTAAAATTCACATGATGTGATATTGTTTTATTGTAAAGGTCTTGCATTGAGGGATAAAATATTCAAGGAAGAACCTTATCTCAAAAGGGATTACAGACATCTACGGTACTCGTCACATTACAATTAATTAACTCTCAATCAAAACTGGAACATGTTTGCTATGACACTTGGAGAATAGGATGCAGTCAGTCAGTTACAATACAAGCAGCTATGCACCATTAYACAATAGACAAACAGTCAGTTACAAGACAAACAGCAAAGCACCATAAGACAATAGACAAACAAACCKAACAACCTGAATATTACATGTAACTATATATGAAGTTAGCAAACTCTTTTCTTATAGAAGCTTGTATTTGACTGACATTGAGGAAGATGATGCTACAAAAGCTATGGAGGTAAGGAARACAGAGAACATGTTCTAAGCCATATTTTTCTAGTTAGTGCATATATTATTATTTACCTGTCATGTATTCTGTGTTAGAACAACTTAATTAAACACATTTATATGTACTTATTTCTAAGCAGTCTTTGCAGAATTAATGAACAATTTTTGTAACTATCTTACTAGTTTGTAAAGGAAGCTCTTCATCTCAGAGAAGAAAGACTAAAACTGATTGAGYCAACAAAAGCTGATCCACCACCAGTCAATCCTGTSAAACCCTTGACATCATACACGTGAGTAAATCAAAGCATGACAGGASAGTMTCWTTTCCAGTGTCAGGTCCAGACACCATGCAGGGCTTGTCACTGCACAAGCGAGCTTGTCACTTGTAGCCAGATGTATGGAACATTACAGAAATTTACAGTAAATTATGTACTAATTTAACCTATACTCTTTGTTGACTGGACAAAAGTTTGGAGCATCTATTATATAGATAAAAGATAAATGCACTGAGATAATACTCCTTGCTATGTTGGTAATTTTATGATCTGCAATTTTTTAGATGGGCTGCTCTTGGYGATTGTTTTATTGTTTTGTATGATCACATGACATCTCCTGAAAACCCTCAATCATTAGGACGTGTTGTCAATTTGGATGACTATTACAAAGCTATCGTTACACCAGGTACATGTCATGCTAAAAACATTACTCAATATACTAGTATTAGATTAAATTTTTAATGAATTCATTTCACCTTCAAGATATTTCGATGCCTCACAAGGCTTCATTGAGTAAAGTGTCAGATAGCTTGGCTGGTTCCAGTTTCTCTACAGAGGGTTTTGGTGTTTATAAGAGCGCTGGATCATCAGGTATGATATAAAATATTATACTACATATTATATCTTTCTTATACTAACAGTGCTTTTCCACTATTTTGAAAAATCTTTTCAACTTTGTATTTTTTTTGTTTTTGTGAGAAGACAATGATGAGAAGGCAAAGAAAGCCCCAAAYCGYAAGAAGCCTCCAAGCTCTGGTTTAGAAAATGATTTCCCTCCTAAACGTCGCTCAGCTCGAGTAAGTTTRATTCAGAGARCACTAGGCATATCAACTTATTGATTCAGCTTTACTTTCATTGMGAAATCAAAAWWATTTCACTGTTTATTATTTTATTCTTAWATGAAGTCAAAGAGAAGTTGATTGGRTGGCTTGGTTGTTTATCATWCAAAGCAGACCTTAAYATATTTTCTTTGTTCCTTATAGGTTCGTACAAGCAAAAAGAAAGAAGAAGAAACAAACTACAAGGACTTAATTCAGACCTTCCTGCCATTTTCCTTAAGGTTTGTGAGCTGTATAATGGTATTTAATTCACTCTGTTACAATAGTTCACTCATGTTAACTCATTGCACAGTGTAACGCATGGTTTTGTTTATCCATGACAATATGTCCAACTTAGAAAAAATGTCTACTACCAAAAGGTGTTTCTACTTTACATAGCTTACTGTTCAATGGTTGTCAACATGTTTTTAATGTTTGTGTCATAGAGCCATTGTACTTGGAGATGATGAAAGTAGCCAAGATAGTTTTGGTGAAAGCCAGCAATCTACTCCAAGGTATTTTACGGAATTATTGTTTAAGGGAAACAAAGCAATTTATCACCACATTCATTTTTTTTATTTTTATTTTGTAGTATTTATATTAAAGCGTGAAACAAATAGTTCTAATTACTACTAAATAGTGTTGATTATATAATAGGAAACAAAGAAATTTGTAGTCAGTTTCAGTGTTGCACTGTTACAATTTTGGTGTTGGTATTGAATTTGACTATTCGAATTTGAATATTCTTTTTTTTTTTTTAATATTTTAATAAATATTTTACATACACCATAAATTACAGACATATTACACTTAATTACATTATACATTTCCAATTAAGGAGAAGAACACCATAGGTGATCTCCTCTAGATTCTCTTATCATAAAATAGAAAATTTTTCTACCACATTCATT